AAAAAAAAAAAAAGATTCAAATCGTTTAAAATAAAAATCGGATAAAATCAATCGTGAAAATCGAATTGAATATTTCAACAGAGTTTTTAGAATATTTTTTTCCAAACAAAATTTAATATATCGTAAGATATTAAGATATTATTTTAAAATACATCCAGGCTTGTCCAGACAGACACGTGAAATTACGTGATATTTGCACATAGGTGGAACACAACTCGGTTAGGTTAGACGTTAAATAACCGAGCTATAATTTCTAATTATACATTTAATATACATTTACCAGGTATTTGCCACACCTTCTCATAAACTAAATTCACTCGTGAAACATCATAATGGTAATTGGTAGTTGTGACCTGATTCCTTGATCTTTTTTTCTTGACACGTATCACGTTGAAGGCGATGACAGATTTAATTTTAATCATCTTTCCTCGTCTTTATAACAAAAAATGCTCAAGAAGAAGTTCAACGAAAGATCGGTCCAAAAATTCTTCGCAGTCGTTGAACACGTATTCAAAGAGATTAATAACGCGGAAACGAAAACCATCATCAATCATTAATAAAATTATCGATTAAAATTTCACAGACTTTTTTTAAAAAAAGTTTTCGCGCACGTGTGCATAAATATAAAGATTTCATATTCACGTTAATTTCATGTTTCGTCGGATTATTTTGAAACAAGCGGATCACAAAAGTTTTTCATCCATGTTCTTTTAATTCTCCCTTATACGACGTCTAAATGATCTCTATATAAATTTTTATACGATCGTACGAGTTATTCGCGATAAGTTAGAGTTTTATAACCGAGTGGATTATTATCCTCAAGGAACAAGGAAAATTGGACTTTGAAATTTTATTAAATATCGCTCTATTGTTATTATTATTATTACGATTTGATCGAAAACATATTTTTTTTTAAATATTTATACAACGGAATGAATCGTTAAATCGTAATATTTTTATAACAAGAATTTTAAAGCTGTTGTATCCATGCTTTACTAAATTTCTCATGATAACAATTTAATCATTCTTCTGCA